CAATGTACTCGATTCTGCGAAGAAGCATTTGGACGATGAAGTGAGACGTCTCAAATCGTGGGTTTTATTTTTTATTGTTAATTTTTATTATATTTATTATTATTATTTATTATATTTATTATTATATTTATTATTATTATAAATTCAGATTGTTGGATGCCAGTGCGACAGATGGTGAAAAGAAAGCGTTAGAAGAAGCGGAAGCTCGAATTAGAGAGATTGAAGACGAGACCAAAAAGAGGTACGTATACTTATTATTTTTTACAACGTTTATATTTTTATTATAAATAATAATATATATAATAATAAATGTTATATATTATTAAATGTTTTTATTATAATAATAAATAATAATAATTAATTTAAGGGTGTTCGATCTGCAGCGTAGAATCGACTCTCTGCAAAACGACAACAAACAACTGCGTTCAGACTCGAATGCGCTCAAGGATAAATATCGCAGTATTGAAGTGGAATACAGCACCGTGGTGCGGAAATTGGACGAGAAGGGTATTTTTATTATTTATTATTATTTTTATTATTGTATATTATTATTATTTATTATTATTACAATTATTATTATTATATTAATATTGATTATGAATATGGCGCTGAAGGTTTTATTTTATTATTAGTTTTATTGTATGTTATTATTTTTTATGATATATTATTATTTAAATATATTTATTATTATGTATTATTATTGTATATATATATATATATATATATTAATTATTATTATTACTATTAATGATGATTGCAGACACGGCCATGAAGAATCTGGAGGCGATGCGAGCGGATCTGTTGCGCGATCTGGAGAAGGAACGCGCGCGCGTCGACGCGGTAACGAACGAATTGGACACGATCCAAACGAACTTCGAAACGAAATCCAAGAATACGGTAGTGATCGAGACCACACTGCGTGAGATACGTGAAGAGCGTGACGAGCTGGTGAAGGAGAAGGATGACGTCACTCGTCAACTCAGCGATTTACGCACGAAGCTAGACGCTGCCACAAAAGAGAAGGACAACGTTAGCAGAGAGGCGCAGAGACAGCAAGAAGAGCTAGAGAAA